TCCTGTGAGCACCCACGCAAATCTCCAAGCACCCACCGGAATTTTTCCCAGTCCTAAATTGACTAGATTTTTAAGAATGCACATTTACAATGAGCCTTTAGTGTCCCTCTCTCTGTCTCTGCGATGTATATGGAAGGGGAGCACACATAAAAAAGTGAAATGTGTGTGTGGGCACATGCACGTGCACCCAAGAGTGCCCGTACATGTGTTTGCACTGAGCATCCACTTGGAAAAACATACACCGGCACCTATGATGACCACCAAAAGTACAACTACATAAATGAGAACAGGAAATGAACCAGGACGAGCACAGATCTAAATTTGTACCAACCCAGGATTAAACCAGGACTAAACCCAGTGTTGAATAGAATCAAACTAGTGATACCTGAGTGGATCCAAAGAGTCCAAAGCGTCTCAGAGAAAAGTGTGCATCTGGAGGAAGAGGCTTGTTGTGTTGTGTTGCTTGTGTTCTTCCTGTGGCTGTGGCTTGGCTGTGGTCTAGGTGGGCGGGGCTTCACACTGGTGAGTGACAGGAAGTTGCTGCTGAGCTCTGCAGTTTTGTAGGTCTCATTTATTATGACACAACTGAAAAAATGAGCCAATAGCACAAAAATATGAAGGAGAGAACCCACTCCTGCTCACCCACTGCACCAGACTATAAAGAGACAGTTAATACTCCCTACAACTGTACAACAACTCACCCACTGCCGATACGTGTAGTACAGATGATGTGAGTATTACAGATACATGTAGTACAGGTGATGTGAGTATTACAGATACATGTAGTACAGATGTGAGTATTACAGGTACTTGTAGTACAGATGTGAGTATTACAGATACATGTAGTACAGATGATGTGAGTATTACAGATACATGTAGTACAGATGTGAGTATTACAGATACATGTAGTACAGATGATGTGAGTATTACAGATACATGTAGTACAGATGTGAGTATTACATATACTTGTAGTACAGATGATGTGAGTATTAAAGATACATGTAGTACAGATGATGTGAGTATTACAGATACATGTAGTACAGATGTGAGTATTACAGATACATGTAGTACAGATGATGTGAGTATTACAGATACATGTAGTACAGATGATGTGAGTATTACTAAAGTCCGTCCTCAACAGTTTACTTTCACCACTCACTCACATTGTTAACATGTCACTTCAATCTGGAACATTCCCAAACGCATTGAAAACTGCGGTCATTAAGCCTCTCCTAAAGAAGAGCAGTCTTGATGCCACAGTACTGAACAATTTCCGACCCATCTCAAATCTGCCGTTTTTTGGCAAAGTCCTTGAAAAAGCTGTTTACCAACAGCTTACGAACTTTCTCCAAATGAACAACTCCTTTGATGTTTTCCAGTCAGGTTTTAGAGCCTCCACAGCACTGAGACTGCTCTTATCAAGGTGACAAATGACATCCGCCTGAACACTGATGCAGGCAAAGTCTCAGTCTTGATCCTGTTAGATCTGAGTGCTGCTTTTTGACACTGTCGATCATGGGATCCTCTTACAGAGACTAGAGGACTGGGTGGGCATCTCTGGTACTGTACTAAACTGGTTCAAGTCCTATCTAGAAGACAGGAAGTATTTTGTTGAAATTGGAAACTGTGTCTCAGATGACATGGCCCTGACCTGTGGGGTGCCTCAGGGGTCAATCCTGGGCCCCCTGTTGTTCAATCTCTACATGCTGCCATTAGGCCAGTTAATAAGCAGCAATAACGTGTCCGTACCACAATTATGCAGACGGACACTCAGATCTACGTCTCTCTGGCAGCAGGAGACTATGGACCAGTGGAGTCACTTGGTCACTGCATCCAACAGATCAGTGTGTGGATGCAAAACAACTTTCTCCAGCTAAACTCTGACAAGACTGAAGTCATAGTGTTTGGTCCACAGAAACAAAGGGACAGTGTCAGCAGTCACCTCCAGTCTCTCTCTCTAAAACCTTCAAATCAGGCAAGAAATCTAGGGGTAATAATGGACTCAGACTTGAACTTTAACAGCCACATCAAATCAATAACATCTGCAGCCTTTTACCATCTAAAAAAAATAGCAAAAATCAAAAGTTTACTGTCTAAAGCAGACTTGGAGAGACTTATCCATGCGTTTGTCTCCAGTAGGTTAGACTACTGTAATGGTCTGCTCACTGGTCTCTCCAAACGAGCTGTGAGACCCTGCAGTACATCCAGAACATCCAGAACGCTGCAGCTCGGGTCCTTACTCGAACTAGGAAGTACGAGCACATAAGTCCTGTGCTCAGGTCTCTGCACTGGCTTCCTGTGCCTCAGAGACTTTAAAGTAGCTCTACTTGTGTACAAGTCTCTCCATGGCCGAGCACCAAACTCCATCTGTGACATGTTAGTGTCATATGAACCATCTCACACTCTGAGGAGCTCAGGGACCGGCCTCCTGCTGGTGCCCAGAGTCACGACTAAACAAGGGGAGTCAGAGTTTCAGGTTCATGCAGCTAAAACCTGGAACAGTCTGAACATGTGAGACAGACTCTTCTGTGACGCTGTTTAAATCCAGACTCAAAACATTTCTGTTTAACTGTGCAAATAACTGAAAGGTTTTCATTCCGCACTCTTCTCTTTAATTTATGTCTCTCTTTTTTAATTTTAATCTTCATGATTATTTATGTTTTGATTTGTTTTTATTATGATTTTAATGTATTTCTTATTCTGTAAAGCACTTTGAATTACTTTTTGTACGAATTGTGCTATACAAATAAACTTGCCTTGCCTTGCCTTCTTTCTGTGACAGAGAAGTCTTCTGCTAATGGTAAGTCTGTTCTGTGCTTCTATTGCAACGAACAACTTCAGCCCAGATGCAAAATCAGCCCGAATGTTTAGTAAAACATTTGTGTTGGATCAGCCCATTTGGAATTTCGAGGAGAATTTCAAATGATATTTATTTAAAGAGTAAAATTACATTACCCCCCTGACATATTTTGTTGCGTACAGTGTTCACCAGCTTTATGAAAACAAATGTGAGTGCTCAGCTGAGTGGTGGGGGAGATGGGAAGAATATTTACGACAGTGCATTTTCACTAGCAACCTCTTGGGGGAGCACTACCGCCGAAGTTACTTAGTTCTGCTTTAAGATAATAGTGGAGCTTTCATGCATCACCATGGCAACACAATTAAAAATACTATATGGTTTATATTTTTTGATTGAGGTGATCAAAGGTAATTTTTCTGCAAAATTTCGTATATTTTGGAAAAAGTAAAAACATTACCTTCCACGCAAAGTTTTGTTGTGTTCTGTTGGAGGCGCTATCACAACATGTTTTCTGTGTCACAATTAGTAGGTTTTGGCAAGAAAATTTTACAACTGATTCAAATTTGATTCCAATCGGACTTTGTATGTGCAAATGGGAGCAAATTTTGACATTGGAATTTTTTTCTAAATCTGAATGAAATCCAAAATGATCATCCAGCTTATTCAGAACGCCCCCTCTTTTACGTTGATCCCTTCCTACAGAAGGATGGATGAGAGCCACGGAGTGGGAGGGAGGGGGTCGAGACCGCTGACACAGATGGTGTTGTTGAAGTGGCTGTATAGATAGGGCTTCTGGGTAATTGAAAGCTTGGTTGAGCTAAGCTGTGGTTGGTTGGAGAGGAAGTTGAGGCATGGTCCAGCTTCTGAACCTGACTGAATCATTTTAACTCCACGTCAGTGAAAATGCTAACTCAGCATTTAGAAATATTCAATCCAAGATGGCCAACTTCTGGTTTGTCAGGGAGCATAGCCATAATAATATTTTTTGTTGGTCTTGACATGATGAATCTGTGTACCGAATTTCGTGGCTCTATGACAAAATTTACATTGAGACGGCTCCCATAGGCTGTATTTTGACTTTTGAAGGTGGTTGCATTTTTGTATACGTAGTTATGCAACACATATTTTATCAAATCTTTTGGTACTTTTGAAATTTGGGCAGTATTTGGTGAGTTTTTGAATATGTTTATGGGCCAAATTTGAGCTCAAATAGCAGAAGAAGAAATAAATAACTTTAAAAAAAATTATAAAATAAAATTATATACAGTCTGTTGGTACCCCTCTGGTAAGGAAAGAAAAATCAACAATAATCACTGAAATAACTTGAAACTGAGAAAAGCAATAATAATAATATTTTAAAAAAAAAATCCTGACAAATAACCAATGAAAATCAGACACTGTTTTTGATTTCTTAATCAACAGAATTATATATATATATATATATATATATATAGTATATATATATATATATATATATATATATATATATATATATAAAACTAATTACACTGGCCTGGACAAAAATGATGGTTCCCCTAGAAAAGATTCTAGGTAATTGGACAATAGGGACATGTTAAACTTAGGTGTGTCTCTAATCTGCATCACAGGTTCTTCAAACTTGTCCTCAGTCAGTCTGTCTGTTTAAAGGGCGACATGTTGTCATTGTG